CATGGCTAGTTTTGCAAGGCAATCTTGCTTTCCTAAAAAATTAATTGCATTGCTCAGCATTATGTTAATTTTCGACTTGCTTTCTGACTGTCATCGCACGCTGCATGTACCAGTCACACACACTGACTGTGCCTGGTAATGAAGGGATATGTACGCTATGTCTGAACTTCCCACTGTGTTTCTTTTTTTTTTCCTTTGCCATCTCATCTCGGCTCAGTGACTCTTCAGTAAGTTGGAAGGCTGGTCAGTTCGACTTTGCAGAGATACACAGCACTGCATCTTAAATCCCAGGCTGAGGGTTAGCTTTGATCGATGCACAGAGACATATGAGAGGCAGAGTGGAGCTGGCGTACGTGAGGCACATTGAGTTCGAATTGACAGCTTCTCAGCTCAGGGATGTGACTCAAGTGTAAGCAGCCAGAGCCTCGGAAATGTCCTATACTCCTGTACGATGTTGAGTAAGCTAGGTTAACTGAAGCCAAACCGGCATCTGTTGAGCGTATAGCATATACAGTAGACACAATAAAGTCCTGGAAGGAAACCTGCGGGTGGTTGCAACCAACTTCAGACAACAACAGAGGTTCATCTACAGCTTGTTTCTGGATTTCCACTTCACAACGATGCAGTTATTTGTTAATTTATTGCATAAAATCTCAAGAACATAATTATATACTTGCATGCTTTTGCAAGGTAATGGGACTGCAGGGAGAATAATTACTTTCCTAAGCAAAATAGTATCAAGGTTTCTTGGTTATGCAGATATTCCAAATGGAAAGTACATCTTTTCACAAAAACACTGACAAGTGAGGACTATCTTCTCTAAAAAATGTTTTTTCCTTTTCCTTTTTTTTTCTTTCTTTTTTGCAAGGCTGGGTCCAAAAGTACACTGAATTCTCAATGAGCTTGGCTTTTAAAGAGTAAATATAGAGGCACGGTGTTTATGTGCATGAAGAGCAGCCGCAGGCCGTTCGTGAGGATGCACCGCCGCAGCATATGGCAAGGCCTTGGAAAGTCTACTTGGAAAAAAAACGCAGCTTTTAGTGTTCGCATGGGCACAAATATCCAGGAACACACAGTGATGAAACTCCACAAACAGTCAGCCTGAGCGCCTCTGAACTCCTGATGTAATTCATGTTCTTGTCGAGCGCATTTTACAAGCCTAAAACACAGCTAAGAGGGCTGATTACTAATGAAATCCAACCTCCCACCCTGCCGCCGCCGCCGCCGCCCTGTGTTTACATGATCCTGCGGCTGCAACAAATCACGCTTAATGTAGAAAACAGAAGAAAGATTTACAAGCAGAAACCTGAAGAGTGCCTGACCCAAGATGAATGAAAATGAGAAAAACAAAATGTTTTAATAAATGACTAAGATTGCCCAGGAGGGAAAGGGTCTCTATTTTTGTAAAAACAAAAACAGAAGTTTCTCCTTTTTCTAAAAATTGATTTCAGTGAAACGTAATTACTTTGTGGAGTATGTTCACCTGTGAGTATGCTCTTTTATTGTATTGAGCAGAACATGTATTTGTGCCATTTTGACAGTCAGATCTTGGTGTCTTCAGCTATGATTAGTGGCAGTCGTCAACATTCAGAATTTCAATTAGTTTCAAAATAGACAGTAATTTTCTATATAGACCCAGGCTGCTAAGGGAGCCTCCCATGATGCATTGCGTTCATTCTCTCTTCAGTTTGATTCATTTGACTTTTGTCAAAATATTGCTTAATATGGCTCTCCAATGTTTGTCCTTTTTTTTCAGTTTTACAAACTTTTTGTTATTTTGCTCATTTGTAAACCAAACAACTAAACAACCAAACACACGACTGTAAAACTTTTCAGTTTCTGGAAATACAATTTGTTCAGTTGCCCTCCAAATAAAATAGTTTATTAACATACTTTATATTTTTTAGGTTTTACAAGAGTTTGTAGAAAATATACAGACTAGTCCAAGCAAGGCAGTAAACAGAGTTCAGTAAACAGGACAGAGACATAAGTTTTAAGCTTAAACCCTTCAGTATGCCCCTCGTCTTCATGGAGAAAATGATGTCCAGTGAACTCAAGCAACTAACTACTTGATTTTATTTTGGATGGAGAAAGAGGAAGAATCGTAATTAGGGAAAACTATGGATGATGAAATTGCACATGTAACACGGTAAAAATGCATTTAGACCTTTAAGTGTGTAAAGTTTGCTTTACACACTTAAAAGCTTTAATCAAACAATTTTGGATGGCAACAAAAGAAAGAGTTGAGAGAATTCAAAATGTAGTTTTCAAAATTTATTGAGATGAAAGTTAACCAAACCCACTTTGTCCTATTTGAAAATGTTGCTGCGTTGCCATAAGTAGAAAAAACTGGCAATTTGTTTTTCTCATTACGGCTAAAGAACTTTGACACTCAGAGTCGCAGGAATTTAGAGGGTCTCCTAAAGTTTTAAGTTAATTTGACCCAAAATGTAAAGAGGTGCATGAAATTCGAATAACTTTCACATTTGTTTTGTCATTT